CCGATCCCCAAGATAGAAAAGTGAAATAAAAAATATGTTCCCTCCCTCTTATGGTACGGTACCTCCCAATATATATATATAATGTGAGACCAAACTAACCAAAAAATGACCTCTACAAAAAAAAAAAAAAGACTTAGAAATAGATGGAAAACTAAAATATGTTAATTAGTTATATTGTTTTATCTATGCTATGTAAATTCTCTTCTCTTACTTTTTAGTTTTGAAACTAGATCTACTACCACTTTGTTCATGAGCAAATATACTTGCTGAAAAGTAATAAAGGGATTATAAAATAAGTTCCCAAAATATCATTCTACAAATATTGTTTCTAAGTACTAAGAATATCTTAATTTAATTGTATAAACATTAGAGATGCAAAATTAAATAAAACAAGGATTCAAATATGAAAGTAATTAAAAAGAATTAAAACAATGCAACCTCTAATAATAAACTAATTGAGAAAAATATAGGATGTATGATTTCACTTTTACACTTCTCTATGTTTACTTTTTAGATTAATTCTAATTCTAGTTTTCTTATGATTGCCAACCACTCATACTAATGGTCATGCAAGATAAAAGAAAGAAAAAAAATATAAAAAGCTTACGAGGTGTTAATTTAATAATGATTGAAAGAGAAGAACTAAACTTTGTCTACCTAATCCTTTGTCTCATTTTATCATATAAGTCCATTAACTATTTATGATACAATCTCCTATAATATAATTAATTATGATATATTTAAGAGTTATCAATTTTGAATATATAAATATAGCAAATAGGATAAATAACAATTAAGAAAGAAAATATGAAATTATCATTAATCACAAAGATCTCATAGAGTCATACAAAGAATTTACCATAGCCCTAATTATAGATTTAACTAGACATAATATAATAGAAAATCAAAATAATAATTAACCAATTCATAGTTATTTGAAAAGTAAATATAAAACAGAGAAGTCTCTAATAGAGAATAGATGAAGAAAGCTCTTGATCCTAAAATGCGCTCCCAAAGCTCTAATAGTCGTTAGCGGCTGGCCAAAATCAAGATTGAATATGTCAAAAAGATATAAAAAAGAAGCCTAAGTCTTCACCTGTGAGGTTCCTTTAATAAGATTTCAAAACCCTAATATTTCTTCATAGTTGGACTTCTTGCAGGTAAGCACAACCGTGCAACGCAATATGCACAATTGTGCATATGGTCAAAGATCTCCTGTGCTGATTGTAAGAAAACCCTATTTTCCATTCAATTTAGGAAAAAATGTACAAATAGCCCAATTGTGACCTTTTTATGTTAATATGCATAATTAATATAGAAATTAGTGTAAAAATAACAAATAATGGTCAAGCATGAAGATGTAGGCTGTAAAAGTATGTTAAAATACATATTTATTACACCTCAACTTAGCCGTGTAAAAAGAGAAGTCCTTTGAATAGATAATGTGCTTTTAATAATTTGTGTTGTTGATAATATAGTAATTAATTTCTAATTAAATGAAAATATAACTAGATATAATTGAGTATTCACAATAGACATCCAAATTGGGCATTACATTTTCATTGAGAGAAAATCTTGCATTCAACCTATATTCAATGCAATGTTATTTCAACCCTACAATTACTAAAGATGAGTCCTACTATTTAAAACTTTTGGTAGCTCCATAACAACTTAATACAATTGAAAAATTATCATTTTCAGAGGTTTGATGTTCTAAATTTCCTCCATCACTAATATCTCTTATACTTGATTGGTCATAACATATTTGTTTATTAAAATAATTAAGGATAATAATGTAAAAATTAAAATCACTCATATATTTGAACACACACCAATAAAAATCATTTAACAAACAGTAGAATTGTAAAGATTCTTTTAGTCATCTATTTAGTAGAACTTTTATCAATTCATTGTATCCTTACGGATAAAACATTATCAATAGGATCTTTAAGTTCCATAGATCATATTCCTATACACAAACCTATGATATTATTTTGAAATTAATTTCAACATAATCCTATACAGTATTCAATATAGATGTTTATAAATTGACATTTTGCCATTTTATATTTTTAAATTCAACACTCTATATAAAATGTCTCACTCTTTCTAGTAAAGATACACCTGATCTATCATTTTCTCTATACACTAAAATCTTAAATCTTCCATCCTAAGCTCCTCACTTAATCTCTTTATCGCTTTCTCACCACAGAGTTATTCTTTTGTTAGAGTAGACTAGTCAGAAGAGTTTTCTCTTTATTATTTGTTATTATGGATGTTTTATATTTTTGTACTTAATTATCTTTGTTTTTATCTTTATGACTTGGTGTAATATAATACATCTTGCTATGAGGCTAAGGTGGATTCTTGTGATATCTCACTTTGAACTTAATTTGAGTTTATACAATTGACATTATTTATTAATTAAAATTGACTATTTATTATTGTTAATATTCTTACATTGATTAATCAAGATTTAATCCTAGTTAACCAAGTTATAGGTGATCATATCATTAATAAGTTAATGAAATCAAGAGATAATTTGAGTTTAGGAGGTAAGAGGATCAATCTATCGTCAAGACTTTCAATTAGTTAATTAAGATTAACAAATATGATGTTTGTTCATATTTTTGTTTATCTTGTTTTCTATTATTATTAAGGTAACATATAGATCATTATTCTATAATTATTAAGTAATGATAATAATAATTAGATGATTAATAATTGTTAAACAATTAAATAGAATTGAATTGAGAAACATATAAGTACTCTCAAAAAATAATTGAAGCATAGACTTTATCTATATCAAATCAACTTTGTGATTTGACCACCTTTTGTTTTCTTTTCAATTTTAAACTTTATTTTTTTAAACATTATCGACCTTTATTTAACATCTAAGGAATAATAATAATAACTTCATATATAATATTACCTTGTCAAGCTCATTTTAATATATAAAATCTTATAATTTTATTTGATAGTTCAAATGCATTAGAAGGCAATGTACTAAAGGAAAAAACAAGTAAACATTGAAAGTAATGTCCACAATAAATGATTTTAAAAGATACTAATTATTCAATATTTAAAAATTTACAATAAATAATAGAATAAAGTTTCTAAAAATAAAAAAATAATAAAAAAATATAAAAAAACTTTTCATAAGTGATAATATGCCATTAAATTTTTCACACAATAAATTCTCAAATATATATATGTATATAAGGTGCAAATAAATTGCATAAGTATTTTAATATTGTATATATTTACTTACAATTAAACCTAAATTTATTGAGTAAATAATTACTTCACCTATGATCAATAAATATTTTATGATAACAAAGGCATTTCCTACTATTCAAGTTGTTTTTGAAACATGGTTTGAATGGATAAAAATAAGTTAATGAAAATAATTTCCTATGACTAAAGTGTATGTTTAAAATAAGATAACTTTTTTATGTGATCCACTTTAAGTAAATTTTTAGAGAAATCTTTGCAGAAAAAAATAATAAAAAAATAAAATTCTATAAGTTAAAAAATTTACACTTTTCTAATTTTTTTGAAAATTTTTTATTTATCTTTTTTAAAATTTAAAAAGATAAGTTATTTTAAACTTATGAATATATTTTAGTCATTTTTATACTATTTTTATAAGAAATATTTTAAAAAATCATCCAAACTAAGCCTATGTAAAGTAGTAATGGAATAGAATATTTATTTATATTTGCTGTAGAAAACTTTTATGTATTTTATGAAGGATCAAAATGTACCTCTTGTATTAGACCTTTAAAATATGATACTTTACTCATTGAAGTTCTGTAAATAGGAGTTATTTATGAAGAATGATATGAAAAAAAGTTTAGTGAACTTAAAATTATCAAAATAATTTTTTAGTATATCTTTTTTTTTATGTAATTTTAAAAAAAGAGTTGTTTATCTCAACATACTTTTTATCATATTTTTTAATATAATTTTAATTATTAGTTGAAATTTTTTAAAAATTAAAATATTAATGGTCAGACTTAGTGTAATTTACATAATTTTTAATATATCTCAACTAATAATAAAAATGTGTTTTAATGTGTTGTTTATATTTTAAAAATATTCTAAATTATCAGTGTATATTTTTGTAATTAGATAAATTAAAGTTTCTCTTATATTTTTGCTTTTCTCTAGTAAAAAATATTTTTGAACTGTGAGTGAATCTTTTGTAAAATATATGAATTTAGATCTGGAAACGGTTTATATAAATTGTATATTCATATTGTGTATAATTATAAAAAATTATCATGACTTCATATCAAAGATTCAATGTACAACTTAACTTCTATGTAATATGTGCTAAAAACTTTAAATACTGACACTGTCTGTAAAGCCTTTTCAGATATTTAACTTTACAATTTTATTTTTTTTGTTGTCTTTCAAAATATTTAGATACGCAATTCAACAATTTTCTTATAATCTTTTTATACAATTTCCAATTTTTTTTAATTTTATTTTTTTAAGAATCTAAACTAACTTACCAATAAATTTATTGAATATTTTTTTAAAGAAGAACAATTTATCGTAAAAATGTTACAAAAGTCATATGTGAACTAAAACCTATGAAACAAAAATCATATATCTCAAATTAATTGGGTAAATCTCGATCAAATATCAACCACAAGACTATAATAAATATTATAAGAAAAAAATATTAATTAAAGAGATAAAAATTTACTTTAAACATTAATATTGTATCATATATTAAGTGTACCTTCTGACACAGATTAATTTATACAATATTTATTATTCATTCTATTTATGAAAAAGTAAAGCCTTTTTTAATCTATTAATTTAGTCAAGTTAATTTAAAACTTATGACAGTACAAGTTCGTCTGGGTGGTGTAGTTGGTTATCACGCTAGTCTCACACACTAGAGGTCCCCGGTTCGAACCCGGGCTCAGACACTTTTTATTTTATTGGTATTTTTCTGACCAAACCAAACTGACGAAGGAATTGAAGTCAGAAATTAAAAGCGGTAGCTATTGTGGTTCTTTCCCCTTCACACTTTTTCAGTTTCCTTCGTCTTTCTTCTTTCACTGATATCACTTCCTTCCCTTCGTTAACTTTCTCTTTCGTCTACGCCTCCGTTCAATTTGTTCCTCACTGTCCTTTTCAATCGCCGCAACACCAAAGAAGTTTCTCTCCCATAGCGCTGAGAGAGAGAGAGAGAGAGAGAGAGAGAGAGAGAGAGAGAGAGAATGGATTGGGGAAACGTGACCGCGGAGGATCTGATCGACGCTCTTCGCGAGGTTGATTGGTCTTCGCCGCCGCGTCCTCTGTCGGAATTCTTCTCGCGATTCACTGTTCCCAGATCTTCCTCCAAATGGAATAGCCGCCTCAAGTGCAATCTTTACTAGTACCATTCCTCCCTCTTCCCCGCTCCTTTCTACTTAATCGCTATCGAACAATCCATGCAATTTCTATTTTTGATTATTTTATATATATTTTTTTCAAGAGGAGTCAAGTTAGATTATTCGCTGAACGAACTTTCCTTTTTCCCTTGTTTTTTTGGTTTTTATATGATTTTTTTTCTGTGATCTTACTTTTTTTTTTTATGAATTTAATCTTATTTGGAGGTTTTACTATATTTTTTAAAATTTTACTGTAGATGCTTTATGTTTTATTTTATTATTTTAATTTGACGATTCCGTGATGAATTTTGAATAACGAGGATTTAATCATCATGTATTGGATACGATTATGGATAATCGGGGAAAACCTTGTCTGTTATTTTGTGCTCTGTATTATCAGCGTATAAAAATTTTAGGGTTAAAAAATAATATAATGATGGTTGTGCTTGTATTTCCTGCAGCTACCGGACCAACTACTTCATTTTGATTGTTTCTGTTCTCAGTAAGTGAGCATGATGGATATGTATTTAGATTTTCATGTTTGGTGATATGTTGTCTCATCATCGACATGTTGGATTGTAGTATTGGGTTTTCTTCGGAGGCCACTTGCTATTGTAGCTGCGCTTCTTACGGCACTTAGCATTGCTTTTCTGAATGACAGGTGAGCAGTGTTACAGGCTCTCTTTGTTTATCACATTAGATGATTGGTTTTGAAGTTTATTTGATTTTGCAAACATTGTGGTCTAAGGGTGTTGTGTGCTGTTTAGGGGGGCAGGTTTTGTTTCAGTTTAGAACGTATGATTTTGTTGCCATTTTTAGGGTTGTTAATCTGACTTCTGTTCTTTTGCGACCAACCTGGTAATTTATACCTTTCTTTTTTTATTTTGGGATCGTAATTAACAAAGCCTCCCATAGCATGGTGTAGTTTATTATATCAAGTCACCCTGTTTACTTTTAGGCTAACCATATAGATGCCTTATTTTGCGAGGGTAGCTGTGTTAAGGAAATCTTGTGCTGCCTTTGGTAGAATGCTGAATATATAGTCTGGGCATTGTTCATAGTGTGTGCGTACGAAGAAACATGCTTATTGGAAGCCTTAGGTGAAGTGGTAAAATTTTATATGAATTGGTTCTCCAGATGATAAAATTTGATTTTATTGCTGTCTCAATCACGGTAATGGATTCTGCCATAAAGTTAGCAGTATATGAATGATGAATCACATGATACTGATAGTTTTAGTTCTAGCTATGGATATGGTTCCTTTCTTGCGAGATTTGGATAGCAGGTTAATGATTGATTTTATTTTGACAATGGTCAACAGAATAGTTTTACCTTAATTTTTGGGAAGTACATTGGTTCTTTATTTTTTTTTTTTATAGGATGTATAGACTAATAAATTGGTCTTAATCTGTATCATGGTAAAGGTGGGTATGGTAGGAAAGGAAATGCTTTGATCAAGTTTAGATTTTAGTATTTCTGATTTTGTTCATTTTCTGACTACTGGAAACAACTGTGTCAATACCTTTGCTCCTGACTTGGATTTAACAATAATTTATGTTATCTAGTACACCACTAGTCTTGTATTCAGAGGGAAAGTAGCAATGTAAAATCATTTATAAGAGGCTGTGATATTATCATGGCTACCGGAAAGAGAATAAAAAATAACTCGGGGCTTTTAACACAGCTGTTGAATACAATGGACTACTCGAAAGTTTTTTGAGTATGACTTCAGATATGTGATTATGCTCAGATGATGGGCAACTGGACAAATATCTGGAGAATTTGTAAATTATTGAACCCAATCTTGAGAATCTATAGAAGTCAGAGAAAGTTTGAACTATGAAATTTTAAGAAACTGATTCAATTCTTGAGTAACAAACAGAAGGAAAGGCTTTTCTTTATTGAATATTCTCAACTGGGATTGAATTACCCACAATTGAGGAAAGATTGAACGAATACATTGAATATTCCCAGGCTTCCCTTCTCTTTTTTCTAATTATTGATTGTTTTACAACTGCCCTACTAATTGGGCTTCTTCAAATCTTTGGGCCTTTTGGTTCCTTACCCTCTTCATACATAAACTTGTCTAATTAGAGGTTTGGGCCTACTACTAACAGAAATCTTCATTTAATCTGTCCTGTTTTGCTGTAATGGAAATGCTTACTTATTTGTTTTTTTAGGGTCCACTTATTTGTTTTATACATTTTTTGCACGTCAATTTAATTGTCAATTTTGTGCAGCTTTGCAGGTACCTTTAGTGAGAAGGTAACAAGAACAGTTAGACAATTTTCACCCCATTTAGCTGCCAAGATGAGACCTCCTCTCACGTAAGCATATTTTGTTGTTATCATCTATGTAGAGCATTGGAATGTTATGAATGTTTATCAATTATTTGAATTTCAGGCCTGTTATTCGTGGACGTCCATCAGCAAAGAGAGCAATTTATATATGTGGTCGGCCACGCTGGGTGTTTGTCTTGATATTTTCTTCTGGTAAATGAACTCTCTGTGATGGTCTTTTTAAATCTTTAATAATTTAGGATGCTCTGTCAATTCTTGGTACTAGTCCAATTTCTTATTCAAGTGCTACTTTCTCCCCTTTTCTGCAGCAAGTTTCATCCTTTGGTTTGTTTCTGCTGGTCTCCTGACTGTTTTATGGGCACTTGCTATTGGTCTTCTTGGTACATTGCACACTAAGAAATTTTAAACTTCAATATTATTAGCGATTACAATCTTGTTATAAGTTGACTTTTCTTGTATTTTTCAGCTACCATCCTGCATGCAAGCTTTAGAACACCTAACTTGAAAGCTCGTCTAAACACCTTCCGTGAAGAATTTCGTGCAGTATGGCGCAATTATAGTGAGCTTTAGCTTGCATAAAATTTGTTGGACTTGGATGTGAGTGCTCTCTGACTTAGCATTTGTACATATTCATATGCTTAGTGATTTTTTTTTATTGACAAAATTTGTAGAATGCTACTATACATTGAAATGATTGCATAACAGATATGTATGTTATATGTGTTAGGGTGAAAATGTAGCCTCTAAAGTTACAGATTTCGATTATTATTATTATATGATCTCACATATGATAAATAAATCTAATTCTTAGTCAGTATGCACCATCAAAACTTAGGTCAAACGAACATTCCATATGGGAAGGCTGGTTATTTTGTTTTAAAGGTTGGTCTTGTGATAGACATGTAAGCAATGCCTATACTAGGGGGGGAATTAGTGCAATAACAGAAGCAGAAATATAAAGGAGTGGCAAGTGCATGAAAGAAGGAAGAACAGGGAGATTAGGAGAGTATTTCCCATAAGATATTATAGCAATGATTATGTGATAAGAGAGTACTGCCAATTGAGTGGGTTATTTATAGGGAGGGAAGGAGATGAGTTGGAGGAGAGAGAGGATGAGCAGCATGACTGAAGGTGTGGTATAGAAAGGCTTGGGGGGATGAGGAGAAGGTAGGAAAGATGTAAGGTTGAGGGAGGTAATCCTATCCTAAAGCTATTGAGGTTCTGGGGGTCCATTACAGGTTTTTTATTTTGGCATTGCTAGAATTCTTGACATCCCATTCTGCATGCAGTTGACCTCCCATTTATTTCTTGGACATAACTTATGTATTGTTCTTTAGGTGCTGTTAGCGTTTACCAATTAAAGTTAGGGTTTTATTTTAGTAGAATATTTGCATTTAATTTTATTGCATATTACTGAGGTAAAACACTAATTTTGATCAGTAAACAACACATAAGGAACTGTACCCAAGTTTTATCTTTATTTCTTAATAATATTGTTGGATATATTGGGATGTTTCTGACTGTTAATGTTACTGCTTTAGTTCTGTATCTTTTAGCTTTATATGTGATGTTATTTTATGTTATTTTGTACATGTGGAAAAGCTTGTAAAACAAGCATAAGCTCTCTTAATAAAATTCAGTGTGGTTTGAAAATGACACAAACTCCACTCTTCACCCCTGGGTTCATCCCTTCTGGTTGATAAATATATTCAGTCTTGAATCTCAATGTGAAGTTACTATCATGCTTCTCCCATCACTGTTGGGTGTATGAATGGTTTTAAACTTTTAATAATGTGCTCAGTTTTTTAATTACGTTGAAATGAAATAAGTGATAGACTACCTTATGATCCCCGGAGATATGTACATTTACATTGTGCTCAATGCTGATTTCCTTACCTTCTATATGTCATCACTTTATATTTCTTTTTTACTTATGCCTAGCTACTAGGGAGTTTAGGGTCAGATTTTTTTAATGACTTTTGGCTTACTAATGTGCTGAAGTGTGAACTTGGAATTTTATATTTCTCTGGATGAGAGTTTAGATGTCTCTTCAGGTTCAGTGATAGAACCAAATGTTAAACTGAATATGAAAGAATGTTTCTTTATTGCTAAACCTAATTCCCAATGCTACACCAATGTGGTACAGATTAGGAGTAGGAAGAATTGTTACAAGATTCTAATAACCTGAGGTAATTCGAGAGACCTCACTCTCCAAACCAGTATATTCTATTCCAACTCCAAAAGCTAAAAAACTCCTAACTATCTTTGTGCTCTTATTTATATTGCTAAAAGAGCCAGCTGTCCACTATTAACAAAATTGGTTATTTACTCTTTTATTTCCTGACTAGTCTTCTTTCTCCTACTGTATATGTGTTTGAATCTATCATTCAGGCTACTGAATCTTGGAGGTTTATGCATTTATTGATTGGGGCCATTACCTGCTTTCTTTCTTTTCAGTTTGACATGTTCACGTTATGCTCCTTTTGTGGTGTCATTTTTGGAGTATAATTGTGATCCTGTATTCAATTACTAACGTGATTTTTGGAAATAATGAAGTTCTAACTTCTTGAATTTGAAATATTTGTACCTGTTATGTAGTGTTTTGTTATGCCGATACTGATTTCAAAACTGAAGTGATGTAAATTTTGTTTAGGTGTTGCTGCTTTATAGTCGAAGTAATATCCTTTTATTCGAATGAAGCACTCTAGGGACGGCTGCCAACCATTGGAGACTATCAACAGATTGTAAATTTTCAGGAATCATCTTGTTTTTGTAGTACACTGTTCTCATTGTTTATCATATCTAGCGGAAGCATTGGAATATTGATAGACGCTGTAATCTAGACTCGCTCACCATTCTAGTTGTCAAAATTCGTAATTGCTCTAGAAATTGGTGATGTAAGATACTTCAATTTCTTGTATGTTTCATATTTGTAGGTTTCTTTTATTTTGATATTGTGGTTGCATTCCGGTAAAGATTGAAAAAATGGTTGCTTGCCTTGTGTGATGCGTTTCTAAAGCTGTTTGTTTTAGTGCACGGGGTGAGTAGAACTTCAGTTCTTGCATCACAGTTGTTGACTTTGTTTTGCCTGTTATTTTGTTTGACATGCTGTTGCTTTATTTTCTGTATGCATGGACAAGCTCCAGTAAGACTGAGTCCATGTGTTTGTAACTTTTTGCATTTTGTGTAAGGGAAACTGGTGAGAGCAAGCCTCCACTTTAGTTCTTTAGATACTAGTCTGACATTTTCGGTCTCAGATTTTATAAAATGTCATTCAATTTATTTATTTTTTATTATATTTTTATGTTGAATTAAACAACTAAAGTGATTGTCTTTTTGAAGGAAAAATATTTACCTAAATGATATTATGCAAAGTTAGAGACTAAAAAGTAGTTGACACATTTCTAGAACAAAAATGAAGGTATAATTGAGACGTTTTTTTGGTCAACTTACACTTGTAATTTTGAAAGGTCTTACCCTTTGCCGTTGCGAGAAGGGAAGGAGTTTTGCTGGATTAGAGCGATCATGGGCCCTTTGACATTAAAGAATGGTAACGAGAATAATAATTGATGTGAATATATATAATTATCTCAATGGACTATGATAATTATTTGTTCAATAGATTTGCGTATTTAGTACATATTTGATAAATTGTATGGACATAGAAACAATAGTATCTATTTTCATTTACTTGCACCTTACATTGAGTTAGTATTTGTTAACAAATTTGAATATTTATATTATTTATTAATTTTTATAGAATGTGACGTATTAAGTATATTAATTTAATACATTTTTATACAAAAATAAAAATAGTAAATATTTTATTGTATATTTTTATTTTAATGTGTAATATATCAGTAAGAGTGAGTGTAATTTATATTTTATTGTATATTATTATATAATAAACATGCAATGTTAAATTTAGATTTTTTTAATATGATATTTTTCTAATTTTCTGTCTTAAATATATTGTAATTTATAATACTATTATATCAATTTTTACCTAATATTTAATTTTTTCCCTACATCTATATTTTTTGCATTTTGTTTTATTTTTATTTTTATAAAATGATATTATAATTTATAATGTTTGACTTTAGTACTTTAACGTTGGATGTTCATATTATATTTTTGTTTTTGGTGATCATTGTAATTTGTATTATATTTCTTTTATATATTTTTCTTTTAATTTGTAAAAAGGTATGATAATTGTATTTAATTAATTGAATTGCTTGCCTGTAATGTGGATAAGTATGAGAATTTAGATGCTAATAGATATGGAAATGTAAATCAAGGTTGTTAATTTAATGGATATGAGAATTAGTGCTATAGTGTTTTATTTAGATCTTACCGATTATTATTCCTATTGTTTTGGTGTCAGAAAACTGTGAGTATCAACACTGCGTTTCTCTAACTGAAATTGGGAGGGCTGAAATTGCAAGAATTGAAATGTAGTTTTTATCATTTCACTGGTTTGGTTTGATTGAAATTCAGGGATGAAACGGGTTTCTTTTCAAGGGCCTCAAATCAAGACAATTCCCTTTCTATTTAAATCATGGAATCGAGGGGCTGTCAAAAAAAAAAAAACATAAAGCATGGAGGGGGAGTTGCAGTGCAATCTTTTATATATATATATAACCAAAAAATTATAAAAATGATTAATAATTTATATCAACAGAAAAAAGATATAACAAAAAATATCAAAATTTAAAGTTAAATTTATTTTTTTAAATATTATAAGTTTTTATATAATTGAATTATTTATTTCTATTCTTTTTTACACTCGTCTAAATAATTAAAAATATTATTTTCATTTCATTTCTATCCATCTAATAATATATCATTTCTACTCTATTTTCTTTTTAACTACTTCCTTTCTATTTCATTCCGCTCCATTTTACTTCTAATCCAAACAAACCATAAGAATAAATTTTTAAGAGTTAGTCACACCAATTTTGCCTGATATAAGAACTTAATCGATCTAAAAAATGACACACACAAATTAATCGAGCATTTCTCACATGCAGTTAGCATTCAGGAAGAAATTTATTTTTGCAATGGGAAAAGAAATTGGGGACACCAGACATCCACGTCCTTTTGTTTACAACGTTGCAATGGACTAAAGAGGTTGTTGGGACCAATCAGATTCTTCTTGAGGCTAGGGTAGGGAGCCATGGTCCCCTACAACTTTTCTAAAATTTCATGAAAGTTATTTTCTACCAGGTAACACGTATCAAAGCATTGTATGACCACTACATTTTTATGGTTATAATCTGCTTGGGGCGTTGATATTGCTATCACTCAATACCTGTTTTTGCTTTGGTATTATTCCTAATGCTAAAACTATCAACTTCCGGCGTTACTCCTAAAGCACTAATCTTTGACAATGACATCGCAGAGAAATGCTTGGTCTAGACTAGACGCAACCCAATTAAGCCTTAAGCTTACTAATGACAGGTGAGTTGCATTAGACGTAGTTTTACACAAATAGAAATTAATTGTCATTATATGACTTTTCTTGAAGTACAAATTAAAATGATGGGATTAGAATAAACACCAATTAAAATTACGTTACTCTTCATGGAATATATCAACTGGAACTAGGTGATTTTCCATGAATATACACAATAATATTTACATGTAGAGCCATTGTCCTTAAACAAATTTCACTCATAGGTGCAAAACTTGAGAGACTTTAGAATCTCAAACCCATTAACCCATTACCTGTGCCACTAAACAAAGGCAAGACTCGTCATCATAGTCACACTAATGTCAACAATAGGTCCCTCTCAGCTGACACAAACAATAACCAATCATCCATCAAGAAGGTTTCAGACAATTCAAACGAACAAAGGCGAGAGAGACCAATTTTTCAAGATACAATCAGACACTAATGCGAAGTTTTGTCAACATTATTTTTTATTATGAATCTTGTGATTGGACCTAAAATCACATACTTAAGTATCCAAGTTCCTTCTATATATGCAAACCAAGACATGTTGAAATGAGAAAACATAATATCAATTTAATGAACATAAATATTTCCTCTCTTTTGATTTTTATTTTGTTTCTTGTGGCATTTTCGATCACACTACATAAACATATATACAAACAAATATATACTAACCGAAAACAGCTAGGCATTAAGTTTGCTTCTGTTGGTACGATTTTTATTTGATGAAAACCAAATTATTAGTGTAGTCTTAATTCTAAATTCAGAGGAGTCGAAATGTTAGTGTTTACTGTGAAAATTGTAAATTATAAATTAATAAATTTAAGAGTAATTTGGGGTTGAATTTTAGATTTTCTTTAATTTTTTTTTTTATGTTTTATACGCAACAATGAAATCAATGTTATTAAGCAAATAATTAAAACAAAGGAAGCAGGAATAGTATAAGAGTAAAACAATAATAAACTACATGTAGAAAAGATTACAGAAAGTACTAGACAAGAATGAAATTGCATAAAAAAAATATAAAATAAACTGAAAATAAATTGCATGAATGTAAATGTGTGAGAAAATAATGTACGTCTCTTAGTAACAATGAACACCAATGACTGTGAAGCTTTTGGTAACTAGTATTTGACTCGGTACAGAATTTCAGCATGCAAAAAATTTAAGTGCAGGTGTATAGAGCAAAAAGCGTCATTCTTAATGTAAAGCTTTGTAATATTTATAGGTAATGTATCTTAATCCCTCTCTTCCTTTTGTGAGTCTCTTATAACCGCTTTTTGCACGTACTTGCCTTCAACCGTTGCCATCTATTATTCATAACCACTCATGATAGTGCCTGTGATCTTAGCTTCTCTGTAACCATTGTCACCCAGTCACTCACGATAAGTTCTTTGTGTTTTTGACCCTAATTGACGATAACTACTGGTAACTGCTGATTTGGTAGTTGCTTTAGACCTTTTAGTTCTTTCTATATCACTTTTGAGCCTCATCATACTTTTTAGATTTAGAATAATTTCTCTTGTCGATTCCTGTTTTGACAAGTTTTAGAAAAAGTCTGTGAACTCCATTTTGTCTGGTGAATTTAGAATTATTTTTCTTTTCAACTCTTTTTTCAACAAGTTTTAAGAGAAGTCTATGAACTCCGCTTTATCTCGTGGATTTAGAATAATTTTCTTTTTCAACTCCTTTTTTGACAAGTTTTAGGGAAAATCAGTGAGTTCCACCTTATCTTGTGGACTTAGAATAATTTTCCTTACTAGATTCTTATTTCAACACGTTTTGGCTCTTTAAAATGTGACATGAAAATCTTCAAAACTCTTTGAAAGGCAGTATTCTTTAACAGAAACTAAGGGTCTTCTCAAGACCTTTAAAACTCTTCGAAATACAGTCTTCTTTCCCATGAAGAATAAGACTCTACTTATAATTTATTAAAACTCCTCAAAATGTAGTTTTCTTTTCAGTAAAGAATGAGACTCTTTGTAACATAATCTATTTTCTACCACAAAAGTTTAGTAAAAATCTTTGTAATTTAGAAAATTTTCTTTCCTCCAAACAAGTTAGTGTAAATATATTTGTGAATTTATTAGTTTCAAAACAAGTTATATTTAGTCAACTTACCAAACTAGCCATATTCTATTGGTTGGGTTACATATTACTTGCCAAATTGTCCCGCATAATGAGATAAGTCAAATTTATCCCAAATTACCCATATATTCTATGTTGCACATTTAAGGGTTGGATAATTCATTGTACATAATTTTTTTTTTAATTTGCTTACAAATTATAAAAAAATTTATTTAATTAAAATTAAAAAATTTTAAGTGATAAGATAGTTATTATTAGTATAGTATTTAACTAATAAAAAATAAATTGTTAATACAAACTTTGAAGATTTATATAAATGTATTATATTAACATTTGATATATTGATAATATAATATTTTTTTACTAACACAATCATTTGTTAGCATAATATATTATATTATTAGTGTGAATTCATAATCTCTATACTAACAATTTAAGTTTTTTTTTTTAAATCTATACTGGGAAAAACTAATTTAATATTAAATTATTAATAACTGATTTTTAATAGTGTAAAAATAACTTTTATGTCCATCAACCTATTCGAAAATAGTTTTTTAACGAGTTAGAAAAGATATAAAAGATTAAAATGAGACTTTTTTTTTTCCTATCATACTTAAGTCTGAAAAGAAAGTATACATTAAATTAATAAATAAATTAAACTCAAAATTTAAATTTTAACATTGG